TTCTGTTGTAAGTTAGAATTTCGAAAATGGCTGCATGTGTTTACCGTCTCTTACGGTGCTACAAATCAACTTCAGCATAACTTACATAAGCAGTGTTGAGTTCCAAATGGAAATACAAAACATTTGCCGTCGCGGCTTCCGTTCGCAGACGACGCAAATGTTGGCGATTTTATGCTGTTAAGGACCTTTATTACATCCATTTTGAAATCACTGGTGGTCCCTGTAATCTGATTGGCTCTAATTGGTGTGATTTATTCCCAAATCGCACCATTTTTTGCTCTAAATCGCATCATTTTACGCTTGACTGAGTTTTTGACACCTGATGTCAAAGTCTTTCTGTTTTGCATACAAAATAAGATGTAAACGCGTTTCTGGTTCCACTTTTTATTTAAAAACCGGCTCAGTACTGCATCAGTAAAATATTTGAATTGACCAAGTCCTGTATTTGGGCGATTTCAAAATGGATGTAATAAAGTGGTAATTGAACTTCGTGTTGTGCAATTTTGGTCTGAAATCATACTTGTGATTTCAAATTGAACTCGCGCTGCGCGCTCGTTCGATTTTGAAATCACGCGTATAATTTCAGCCTAAATTGCACTCCACGCTGTTCAATTACCATTATAAGTTACACTTGAAAATCGATATCGCACTCGTCGCTTCGCGATATCGGTTTCCGCGTGCAATTAACATGGAATTACCTCCTCAGGTAATGAATTTTCCTCTAATGTAACATCTGCTTAACTCTTTTGAGTACTGCGTATTAAGTACTGAGTACTTCGTATTACACGACACAAACACCTAGGTTAGGTTATATTCAAAATAGACTAAATCTAGGTTAATTAAAACACAGCTTCTCGGCTTGGTTCCATCTCAGTGTTCAATCATAAATCACATACGCTTCACGATTGATGTGGTAGGAATGATAAAATGTTGGTACTCTCTGGCTATCAGTCACCGGGGTGTTTTTCACTTATTTCTGGCTATTGCGGTCCATAACTGAACCTAACGACGGCAAAAAGGAATTACCTTTACATAAGTAATGGACAGAAAGGTAAAATTATAAAAAAATACAAACTTACCTAGGATGTAGGTGGTGTTCGAACCGCGATGTGGCAGTGTTAAGTCGATCATGGATCAAGTCGCTCGGAATTTATTTTCATCGTTTACTTATAAGAAATTCTTGCAATAATTCAGTCTTCGCTGTTCCTCCCCTCGCCCCTTATTTCAAGCTTAGCCCCATGAAAACAGTGTTCAGGAACACGCTGTGTATTTTTTTTGGCAATTTTTTTAAAGGGTTTTTATTCAAACCTGTGCGATTTTTCCCTTCGCCACTCGTAACAAATCACTGTCACAGTGATTTCTAATGATTGTATTTGTTTCAGAGAAGTTAACGCACTTTGAGAGTTTCGGTTGAATTCCGTGAACAATTCATTAGCGATTTTCTTTGCGACCTCCTCGAGGAGACAAACTTAACAAACGTTAGAAATAGACAAAAGAAGCTTACTGAAAGGAACAAAATGGAGAAGAGAAATAAACAAAAACAGTGAACTTTTATTTTAAATGCTAAAAAGAGTTTGGTGTAACAGCTGACCAAATTCCAGACGCCAGGTTCGTATTTCTTATCCTGAAATTTGTCAAAAAGCATATTATTAATCTGTACCAGGTCTAAATATACAGTAAGGGCGATGTCACTCGGTTTCTACATGAAAATGTATTTACATTCCTCTCAGGCACAATTTATTTTAAAGTAACAATTATTTAACTCTTTTGAGTACTTTAGTATTACACGACGCAAAAACCTAAGCTTGATTCTCGAAGCTTTAGACTAAAACTAGTTTAGTTAGAAGAGTAAGCAAGCTTTCTGCGGACTCGTAACACAGCTCACGTCTTTACTGGGACCTATAAGAGAAAAAGGATATATTTTTCTCAATGCAGAATGTCAGCTTTTCTGTTAAAAATATAGCCATTTACTGGCTGCCATAACTTGGCAAACAAAGTTACACAAAGGCCAAGTGACAATTTTTAAATTCGAATTTCAGGGATTACAATCATTGCCCAATGCTTGACCCAACACACAGCCCGAGCTGCCAAATTAAATATTTCCGTTACCAAATAAGAAAAGACTCAAAGCATCGCTAAATGCTCTACTCCTTCCTCATGATTTTCTTTCATGCTTTTTCTTAAAGAACGTTTCTATGTCCTCTTTCTACTTGAGTTTCCTAGCATGTTTGGATCCCTCTTAAGGTATCTGTTGGGGTACTTGGTACACAAGATAGTTATGCCCTCCCCAGTGCTCGTGACTCACGAGGATTTTAGAGGATGCAACTTCTATCCAACAGACTGAAGTTTTATTTAGGATTAGTTCTTCATTCTGCCAATATTAATAGTAATGATGATTATGAAAATTATGATGAAGATAACGATAATAATGACGATGATGAAGTTAATAATAAAATACATAAAAATCATAGATTTTACAGCATCATGATTAAGCCCATTCACATTGTAGTTTCTGGTACCTTACGATTCTGGCCAACTTCACCCATTTTTTTTATTATTTTCTAATTTTTTTTCTTACCTGTCCATCTTGAAGGACCATGTACTGCCCTTGCCCATAAGACTGAGAAACATCCACTTGTTGTGGTTGGTAACCAGTTGCTGCGGCTCCAGTTGGAGTAACTTGGACAAACTGAGACTGACCTCCTATCATGGCTCCAGATGTAGGGACTTGGACAACTGGCGGATGACCTCCCACGGCTCCAGAAACTGGCATCATGATCATCTGAGGTTGGCCTCCCTGTGGGACCGCTTGAACTGCAACCATACCACCAACTGTTTGCATTGGAACAGCCACAGGACCTCCAGGCATTTGGGAGACGGCGAACCCAGTGTTTACTGCTTGCATTACCTGACTCTTTGGATGGAAGAGAGCAGGGAATTAGCAACGTTGAACTTCAAATGCTATACCGACCACCAACGCATACGACTTTGACTTAATTAGACATCCAAGGAGGTAGTTGTGGAAAGGCTTGACGTAATACATGATAATACTTATTATAATGAAACAATGAACAGGATCTCTATCCTGGAATTTTCTAATTTATAAGTGGAGGAAATAATGGAGTGATGGGGTATAAAGGAATTGCTGGAGAAATCAAGCAACTTTTCCAACCTCTAAAAGGGCCTTTTTTAGTTTTCATTATTACTCTTTACCAGTTAGAACACATCTACATCTACAGGTGGAGAGTCCTGCAAAGGGGATACCCATCACAGCAAGACTTTAACAAAAATAAAAAGGGGATGGGAGAGATAAATAATAAATAATAGTAAAATATATATTTATATTCAAATGCAAGTGCTCGGTATGGGCATTGCAAATATCTTTATATCATTCCACTGAAAATATGACCAATGAGAAGCCACTATATATTGGACGCTATTAAACTCATACTTTTCCAGAGTCCACTGCAAAGTCATTTCTACAGCCATACCCAATTTTTTCAAGCGTTCTACCAAATGACCTAATTTGACATGCATCTTTTTGTGTTCTGCGCCATACGTTTAAAGACCTTTAATATATAATAAATGTCTTAAGAAATTTTTAAAACCGTGACTAAAATAATTTTCAAAAAACAACCCAATTCAAAGTCATTTTAATTGTGTTTTTTGTTTTTCAGTTGTCGCATTCACTGTGATGAGCAGTGCATTTCTATAGCATGCTATGACATATTTCAAGATTCATATGTAAATTACCATAAAAAATATTGGCCACTCGTGCAAAATTAAACTATCTATACCCCTTAAAAGCATTGCATAACTATCATATGTTTGATAAATCTTAGCATGCTCACCTCTTGCGGTGGGGGCCTACAACAGCAAATTTGCATCAAACAGCAGCAGATGGCAGCCCAGATTCCAATGGCAAATTCCACAATACCAAGAAGCAAAATGATAACAGCGAGTGCCAGCCCAGTGTTGTACCTGTGTCTTGAGAAGTAGTAACCTCCATAAGCAATGGAAAAGCTATAGCTGATGATGATTGTTCCACCCATCACAGCTGAGGTAATTGAGAAACCCATGAAGATGGCTGCCTGAAGTTTTGTTATAGAAAAAATAAAAAGCTATTCAGAATATGAAGAAGACGAAGAATGACAACAACAATGAAACATGTAAGAGAAGAAGCAGAAGAAGAACAACAACAATGACAACAACAAAAAGAATAATCATTCCGACTATTTTTAACTACTTTTTAATATTTTTTAACAATGTTTAACTGATTTTTAATCAATTAATTTATCAGTTTAATATTTAAGTTCTTCAAACTGTCCTAAACTAAACTGTTGAGCAGCACTTCTGCAAACAGTAGCTGTACTGATGAAAACTTTATCACTCTCCGACATGTTTCCTCCAACTGTCGAAGAATTAAGTCTTCAGAGAGTTTTACATGTGACACTAAATGCCTGTAGGTATATGCCATGGTTAGCAGCCATTATGGAGGCCAATGACCATAAAAGGTTTGGCTGTACTTACAAACAGGAACAGGTGATGTTGCGAAAAATTTGAAATATACAAGGCAAAGTGAGGTAAAATATGTTGGGGCGACGGTTTTCGCTAAAAACCTTGGCCCCTAGACTAATTTAAAGAAGGCATTGTACGATGGCTGCGTGCAACCTGAGCTGAATGCACAACGGCAACAAAATTGCAACAATCCTAATTTAATATGATTCGATTCAAACAGTGTAATATTCTTGTAAGTCATGAACAAACAGAGTCAGTGGATACAACAAAATGAGCTGATGATGGCATGATTCATGCCTAAACATGTCTTTAAAAAGTTTTCTCGTGAATTTGAAATGTTGCCAGACCCTTGGATATCTTCTCGCCCCATTCTTGATGCTAGTATGACTTGTGTGTTTCCACATGATAAAATCAACTTGCAAAAACATTGCGAGAAGAACTTGACCCTTCTAGAGTACCAAGGATACCCAGATCATGGGATTATCCCTACTACTAATTGTGCTGTTTGTAGATCACAAAATTAACTTACAAAAACATTGCGAGAAGAACTTGACCCTTCTAGAGTACCAAGGATACCCAGATCATGGGATTATCCCTACTACTAATTGTGCTGTTTGTAGATCACAAAATTAACTTACAAAAACATTGCGAGAGGAACTTGGTTGTTTTTGGGTACCAGCGATACCCAGACCCCCTGTAATGCACATCTGAAAGGAAAAGAAGATTTAAGTTTATTGGAGGATTAATCAAATTCGATTAATTAATTCCCGGAATTTCATCTAGCGTTTTTAGTATTTCCAATTTATCTTGGCATAAACTTATTCCAAAGTCTTAATCTCCATAAACAAACAATGAAATGCACTGAACAGCGATTTTGCTAAAAACAGCAAAGTTCCCTCTGAACCGGAAATCCAGCCAGAATATAGGCTCCGTGTAGGCTCTTTTTCGAATTTCCGACGGGCGTAGTGTAGTGTTTTCAACAGCTGTCATTCCCGGAGTTCGGAATGCCCACCCGATCAGCAGTCGAATGTCGTCATGCAAATGAACCGAATATCATTCATTGTCTGGGTGTTACGAAAACGAAGACCCTCGAAAACGAAGACCTAAGACGTGAGACCCCCGGTCTTCGTTTTCGTACTACGAAAACTAAGACCCCCTGTCTTCGTTTTCGTAGTACGAAAACGAAGACCTCATAAACAGAAAACCGTAGAAATTACAAGTTNCAAACCTCTGTCTGATGGTAAGATTCCAGTTAAGGAAGGGTCTTCCTATATATATTTAGGGAACACTACCTTTTCTAGGTATTTGTATTTTGTTTCCACGTTATTTACGACAACGGTATGACATTTCCTATCTCCTGAACTTTTGTATTCGGTTGTGTAAACAATTGATGAAAAGTGGAGACGATTCCCCAAGGTTAAAACTGTGTACAGCCTCTGCACAAATAACCAGAGATGCTGATGTTCGACTCTATACTGGCATGTAAAATACAGATGCTTTCAGAACCTTATTTGAGTATTTACTCCCACCATAAATCCTAAAATTTAAAACTACACAATATCGATGGCTAAAAAACATATTCTAATTTCTCAACCGAAAGAAGTGCTTTTTAAAATGCCATTCTCGCACCATCGGCGGTCACGAGGTGACCTTCAAACAACATATTAATCTGCCCATAAAACGCAGTGATAAAAAGGTACTTCGCCAAAAATTCGGCACTTACTTTCAGAAACGCCTTATCTATGTTCCCACTAGATTTGGAGACGAAAATAAGCGATTTTCCCTTTATAAAGTTACGATATTGAGTGAAGGTACCGACGCGCGTCCAATAATTACAAAAGAATACATTGCTTGTTGCTACGCAACGAGGTTTTGTTTGACCCCTAAACAATATAGCCGTAAAAACCGTGGAAGGGTCTATTCTGCCTGCTGTTCCAGAATAATAATATGTGTTGTAAGTTTACCCGAGGAAACCCTCGAGAACATCAACATCAAATTGGCTCGCATAGCGAAACTGAACAGACAAGACGGGCCGTATGATAATACGGATAATAATGGGAAGAAACGCGTGAAGTGTAATGTATTATATTACTAAGCGTTTTCTGTTTACAAGGTCTTCGTTTTCGTAGTACGACAACGAAGACTGGGGGTCTTAGGTCTTAGGTCTTCGTTTTCGAGGGTCTTCGTTTTCGTAACACCCTTCATTGTCTTTGAATCCGAAGTTTCAGAGTTTCCTTAGGCATTAACACTACACATTCTGACAAACTTCACGGTAGAGTGATGCGAATTGTTTCAAATTCATTAAGTCAGCCTCAAATAATGCAAGATTTACGTTCTTCCAAAATGTACAATTTCACTCATTATGTAAATTTCAAACTAGATTATATCATGTCGGTTGCTCATTTTTTTGTTTCGAAGCGGTTGAGACAAGATTTCAATACAACATGAGAGCAAGGTAACACTTAAGGTATTTCATCCTCGCACACGAATAGAACAACGGCGATGAATAATAAAAAATCAAGCTCACAATGTAAATACGTTGTTGGCGTCGGCTGAGAAACTTACCCAAATACCGATCCAGATACCAAAATACACATAACGAGTCCAAGAAAATTCAGTTAGACTATCTCCAATGCCGAAGCAAAGGAGAAGAGCGCCGACAATGATATGGGTGATGGCGAGATACCTGCCCATATCTGTAGTCCTGATTGCCTGACCCGCCATGTTGGTACAGAGGCGATTTTGAAATAGTTTCGACAACGTCATTATTGACCGACAATGAATCTTTAACAATTATTCCCAGAGCGCGCATTAGATATGAGATGATAGATAGCCAACAAGGCGTGTAGCGCCGAGTTGGCTATAATCATCTCATATTCAACAAGCGCGAGTTTACACGTTTTATTAAAAACGTGTAATTAAATTATTAAATTTTATGAAATTTTATGAAATTTTTAGCTCCCTTTTGATTTTAAACTGACACGTACGCTTGCCATATTTGTAGATTATGGTATATTGGCTGATATACCATAATGGTTAAGCCAATAAAAAGCCTTGAATTGCATTATCCAATGATCTAGTTATTAATAATTCACAATGTCACGGAATATAATTAATTTTTTTTGTGCATACACCAGAGACGGTCCCGCCATGGCGAATAGATTTATTTCTTTGGAGACATTTTTCTGCCAGAATCAAATTGACATCGTGATGATGAGGAAGAAAATCCTTTAAAAACTTTATATCCGTACCTCCTTCTTTATCGCGTCTTGTCACATGTAATGTAAACAAACTAGTCACGCAATTTCCATTCTCTTGATTTGTCACGCCAGGTAGAGAGTTTCTGACGAAATTGAGATACACGAAAATACATGGAGAAATCAATGTTTCTCTACGTGTTACTGATTAGCTCAAAATAATCACTTCAAGCCAAGCTTTAATAATTAGGGACCGGACATTTATTAGAGGGGGGGGGGGTGGAGTGGTACATTTCAATTTTCCTATACATAATTTCTCGTGGGCCTGTTCTTGCCAAAGCATTACACAATGTGGCCCCCCTTTCTACTCTGTACATAAAATAAAATGACCCGCCCTCAACCACAGAAACAGTTTTAGTACAACTATAATTAAACTCATCGAACTATTTAAAACAAATAGCGAAAATAAGAGAAAGGCACAGAAGAGAAAAGCTGGACGAGAAGAAGAGAACTTAATTTCCAAACCTCTGTCTGATGGTAAGATTCCAGTTAAGGAAGTCAATGTGGCTGCTCTAATATCTTTATAATTAAAGGGACGCAAGTTAACTGGCTAAAGCAAATGATATAAAGAGGGCTTATAAGTGATCAAGCTTGTACGCTAATTAAAGAGTACTTGCCCTCTATCAGCTCTTCAAACGGTGAATCAGAGGACAGTGATACTGAATAATACTAGTAATACATGAAGTCTTTTTTCTTATTTAAAAGGTCTGCTATACACCATGCTATGTTGGTTTGTTACTGCTATCATTTTGACAATAAATCATACTTGACTCGTTGTTGATTCTTTCAGTGTTGTTTCTTTTTTGTGGAACGGGAATTGGAATGCACAAAAACAAATGGCCCCTCAGAAATGGTTGCAAAATTTTACGTAGCCCCCCATTTTCAGGTGCACAAAAAGTTATGACTCCCACCCCATTTGCACCAACCCACCAACCCCCCCTCTCTCCTCCTCTAATAAATGATCGGTCTCTTATTCGATCTAAAGTGGTCTAAAAGAAAAACAATCATAATTCGCAATCAGAACAAACGCAAATCAAGTCTTTATCTCCTAACTAAATTCAGAAAACTTCAAAGTAAACTTACTTCCGTGGCGGGTCGTCACAACAGTCGTACTTTAGGGGTCAACATCTTCGTTTAACAGAGTCTTGAGATAAGCGGAATTTTAGACAGACCATGAGATAACATCTCTCAATATATGAAAATCATATATTGTACTGCGGTTAAAGAAATCCATAGGTGAACGATCTTCGCAATAAGGAACACATCTTGATCGTGAGCACTAGTTAAAATCAGACTTGAAAAAAATTCAGGCCCGTACGGCATTCGAACCCATGACCTCTGTGATACTGGTACAGTACGTGCTCTATAGCCCTATGAATCCAATATTCATGATCACGCTACGCTGTGCATTTACTTTGTTATTCGTTTCAAGGGTTTCATTAGCTATTTACCTCCCTTCGTCCAGTCGCGACAAATAGCTGTCGCTGAGTCATTTCTAAGTATACCTTAGTTTCTGAGAATTTAATGCAGGTCTGAGAGTTTCGGTTGAATTCAGTGGATTATTCATCAGCGTGTTACTTTGCAACCTTGTCGAGAAGAAGACGAATAGAAAAAAAAAGACGACAAGAAGACGAATAGAAAAAAAAAAAAAAATGAAATAAAATAATAAGGATTTGGTGCAACCAAAAACCAAATTCCAAACTTTCGTATATCTCATCAATAAATCCTCAAAATGCATATTTTTAACCTATAATCGGACTGCAGAGACAATAATAGTTGTCACTTGGTTTCTACATTAATTTTTGCTTTCATTTGTTTTCAGGCACACCTTGTAGGAAGCATCCTAACATGATCATGAAATCTGTAACTTTCACAAACTACCACGCAAGCTTTGTAATGACATAATACGAAAGTTGAGAGTCACGCAAATTTTCATTGGCTCCAACTTTGCTCTCGCAGGCTTTCCACTGTTTTCTGATTCACAGGATTTACCAGTTTAATTAAGAATCGCATAAGTGAATAAAATCTCGCACTCTGATTAGTTAACGAAGCGAGGTATTTAGCGTGGAATTGTGAGTTCAAAACGAGACCGAGTGATAATGTTTCGCATCTATGTATACATAACAACTATCGTCAAATTGTAACACCAAGACTGTAAGAGGGTTTTTCTACAATGTCATTTAAAATGTTTTCAGAGCCATCATCACCTTTTGAAGAGCCAAAAACAAACAAAAGCGCTTTTCAACGTGACCCGGAGGTTCTGTATTGCGCGCGCTGGATAAAAACAAACAATATTATTGCTGTTTTCTTTTATTCACTTATGCGATTCAAGAAAAATCCATCACCTGACTCAAAAATTCTGGGTTAAATTACACTCGCAATTCGATATCGCACTCACCGCCTCGCGATATCGGTTTTCGCATGCACCTCAATGCGGAATTACCTCGTCAGGTAATGAATTTTCCTACAAGGTATACGTAACATTTTCTTGATTCTTTTGAGTACTACGAATTAAGTACTGAGTACTTCGCATTACGCGAAACAAACATCTAGAGTAGGTTATATTCTAAATAGACTAAATCTAGGTTAATTTGAGGAGTCAGCAGGCTTTCTTCAACTCGTAACACGGTAACGGCCTTTACGGAATCTGTAAGAGAAACAGGACATTTTATTCTCATTTGAGAATGATAGCTTTCCTGTTGAATAAGAAACGTACCGAAATACCGATCATCCCAGAAGACAAATATCTTAGCCCAGAACTTTCATTTACTAAATCTGCTATGTCAAAGCAGAAGAGAACAACGCCGACAAAAATGTGACTAAAGCAAGATTTAACAAAAAATAGTCTTTGCATTTGCTCACGTCAGCAGCGTACACCCATGGGCAAATGGGGGACGCTAAATTGACCAATCAGAGCGCGCGCTTTACTTTGGTTATGTTATAAACTTACTTATGTCGGCAGTCCCGACAGTGTGGTCAGCCATATTGAAGACGATGTTTTCTCAGTGATTTTCCATTCGTGCAGGCCAATCTTGAGCGTTTGACTATCGGTTAGATCTGAATTGTACCAATTAGAAAGTTGCTGCACTTGTACCGGCTTTGCATTCCTGACGAAAGATGTTCCATGTCAGAACATCATGATTTTAGTGCTTTGCGTCACTTGTATACAATTCACTCCTCGATATACGCGCGAGAAACGTTCAGCCGCATCTCACTAGGGGTCAATTGGTCAAAACCATAGATACGAATGGCAAGAAGCAGCTCATTAGAGATCAAAGTCATGGCCTTACCGGGTTGTTGCATGAGCAACGCAAGAGTTCTTTCTTTTTCATGTTTTATTTTTCTTGTTTTATTTTAATTTTTTTTTTTTTTATTTTTCTTTTTTTATGTTTTATTTTTCGTCTGGAGATGGTGTCTTCCGTTAAAAAAAAGTCATTAACATCTCTTCAAAAGTGTTTTAACGTTGGGCATTTTTTTTCTTTTATTATCAACTATCATTATACAAACTGAAAGAATAAAAGCAGACTCAGAGGTGGATCCAAGAGGGGGATGAGGGCAGGGGGGGGGAAGGAAGGGAACGGGGAAAGGGGGGCTCTAGAACATCCCTTCCCAACAGACCTGTAGGTATTTTCTAACTAAGAGTTTGACACCAGAATCCTTGCAATAACAGGATTGCACAGTACTACTCAGCATGAGCAAGAGATTGTAAATAGTTTATATCCAAAAACAACTATCTTTTTAAATCAAAGTTTAAGCCTTCCTTCTCTCTCTATAAAGTATTCCTGGATCCACCCCTGATGAAGACTAAGCGTAAGAAGAAACGGTGTTTGTCCTCTTCTGATATCCTTCTCGATAATCTGTGCACCCCACCAACTTCTTCACACATCCTACACCTAGAATTAACGTATGATAAAATACATTGTAAGTATTGATCAACTATCACTGATGGCGAAAAGTTTTGTTTACTCATGAAACAGTTCCCGAGTTTAAGCTGGTTTGAGCCCCGTGGTATCTGAGCTCATACGCCTTGGACAACGAAGAAGGTGATGTATCATACATTTCTTGAAAATTTTGCAGCTTCAGGTAAGTTAATTCTCTGGATATTGTTGATGAAAACATCTCTTCACTCGAGACTGCGCATTATGCGATGATATAGTTACCAGCAGTTCAAATCCTACGCACACTAAATTGTAAACTTTTCGAAGACTAACCCACTACACCTGCTCGTTGTTCAGAGCCATGTACTTTCCATGTCCAGCGGACTCGGCCATCTCTACTCCCTGAGACACGGGAGCTGTGGGCATGGAGGCATCTGCAGGAGGCATCTGCATCACCAGTGGCTGACCTCCGATAGCTCCAGATGCAGGCATCATGAACACTTGAGGCTGGCCGCCCTGTGGAAACTGTGAGTCAGTTTCCGATGCAACTAGACCACCAGGTGCTTGCATTGGAACCGCAACAGGACCACCATGACCATAAGTCAATACTGGTTGCATCATTTGTCCCTGGAAATGACAAAGGATTTCTATCCACTCACAAACAACGACAGCGACAGGGGTAGAAAAGGGAATATTTCCTCAGTGTCGTTATAAAAAAATGCAATTCACGTCCCTACTTCGAAGTCTACGCTCTATCTTTTTATGTTTTTACAGAGATAGCGTTCTTTGACCGTATTTTCATGTTATGTCCAAGAGGTAGTAAACACATATAGGCAGCCGCAGTATTACTATGAGAAAAGAATATTAATTTATAGTTGAAGTTTGCCGTCGCCGCCATAAAATTTCATTCCCCCTTCTGTAGAAACAAAGACGGGAAATTATTCTTACTCAGTCTTACCTGCTGAAATTGGTTACTGTAGCAACATGAGCACACTTTCATCAGGCAGCAACAGATGGCTGCCCAGATTCCCATGAAAAACTCCAAAATCCCAATGAACAGAATAATGCCAGAGATTGCCATTTCGCCTTCATATCTCGAATTCCTTGATCTGCCATAATAGCCGTAATAGTCATCTGAATTCGTGGAAATTGAAATGCTGTAAAAAATGATGATTATCCCACCAAAAACAGCTGAGGTGATGGAAAAACCCATAAAGACAGCGCCCTAAAAAGTTCGAATTAGATTCTAATGAGGTTTTATTTTATTGCAATGCTATTCATATGAATAAACCTTTAATGGTTTCTTTCCTGAAACGTGGGTGCCTACTATCAAAAAGCACAACAGCCTATCGGTACAAAGCGCACCTGTGAGGGAACGAAGTGTAATACTTGGAGTAATTATTAGGATCAAAATACACCAGTGTTAGCATCGCCTCACGAAGACTAGCAGTTTTGAAGTCGAATTGTTGCGATCAATGCTTGCCTCCTACATGGTGGGACAAACAATTAAAGGTTCATTTATCGATAAAACCACAAGGAACGAAAACACTTTTTTAACACTATTTAAGTACTCAGTTAACTGATGTTACTGTAGCCAAAAAGCTAGCGTATGTTTTAACATGACAACAACAGGGGAATAAAATCCCACGACGAGTGAGCAATCACGAAACTGGCTTGTAGGGATAAAAACGTAGTCGTCGTATTTTTCAACTCAACATATCTTGCTCTCTACTTTTATATATCGAGCCCTGTTCCACGGACAAAACGAAACAGACTTCCTTTATCTATGCATGAATAGAGCTGTGACAGGTATCAACTCACAATTGTATCGCGGGAGGTAGTTCGCTCCTTGCGAGTACCAAGAACACCCAAAATTCCTGTGACGCCCATCTAGAATAAACAGAGAACATTATCAAGTAAGTAGGTACTGAGAAAAAGTAGAATTCCCGAAGAAAATAATTTTGTTAAATCAACTGAATTGATAATTTAAATTGGCCCTTCGTCACTCTGACGAAGTGCCAACGCTAGAAACATTGCTTCAGAATCTCTTTTAGGTGGCTAATTAATACATTATCAACTCAGTTTAATAATCAAAGGTTCTTGTTACACTCCCCCACCAACGCAGCACCACAGTTTCTTTAGAACCTTACCCCTTCATTCATTTCTCAAATGAATAAAGGGAAGGATCAAGCTATTTTGTATAATTTCTGTATTGACTGACCAACCCCTTTAATTTACTAGCTTAAAAGTACAGAAGATGAAAAAAAAAGTGGCGCGTTTGAAAACGTTTTATGGAATTGACTTTAGAGTGTATGGTTTTATAAACTCTGTAAGAAATGTTTTGACTGCGTGACATGCTGTGTTACAGCTTTAAGCATCGTTACTTTTGCTTTCATGTTGCTAAGTGATTGAACTATCGAATTTCGAATCCTGTGACAAGCAGATGGGTTTTCGGAAGCAAGTGAGGAGTAGCTGAGATCTTCTTTCGTTGATTGTGACATGTTCTGAGGTTTTAGAGTATTAAACACGTTTATTTCCACAACGCGAGTCTTCAGTGTCACAAGGAATTGGGGCCAGCAATTAGATTCCCCACAACTCACAGAATAAGTTTGCCTGTCCTAATTTGAGAGTGAATACATCAGAGTTACTGTTTCACATTTCAAAGTCACATTTGCCCTTGAAACTTCGTATCTAAACAGAATAGTCATATTTCGGCTTATAATACCGCGAAAGGGTTTATTTATCAAATAGTTCATATAATACATGAATTATTCGATTGCTAATTATACGTGGTTCATAGTCTCTCCTCGAGCCTTGGGATATAGACTGTGTTTTATGCGCCAGTCCGTATATTACATTTGTTCCATACTCTGAGGTCCGAAACCAAAAGGCTGACGAAGGGCTAACGTTCGAAACGTCAGCTTTTTRAAGGTCGGCACACACGAGGGGACTAGTCCCTGCGACTAGTGCCAGCGACCAGTTTCATGCGACTAGTCCCTTCGTGTGAACTACACATTTCTGTGGTCGCAGGGACCAAAATTTGGTCCCTGCGACTGGTCGCACGAATTCAAACTGGTTTGAATTCGTGCGACCAGTCGCAGGGACTTGTCGCATGAAAAAAATGTTTGTCCCTTCGTGTGAACTGTTTGTGCGACCAGTCCCTGCGACTAAACGGTAAATAAGCCAATCACGGGTCAGTATGATGCGTGACGTCCGGTATTTGTAAACATTGCAGTTTCTATGAATTTTCACTGGATTCTAGATTTCTACAACTGAAGAATAAAAAACTATTTCTAGTTTTTGTAAACATATACAGATGTCTTGGAGCCGTTTTGATGGAATTTTTACCCTATTTTACTCTGTGTCTCTTAAAAATAAAAAAACAAAAACAAAACGGAACACGTAAAAGCATGAATAATCCGACAGAATAAGTGCAGTTCATTTGCGTTGATGTTTAATAGTGCTACAATGAAAAGTCACCATATTTTCATTGCTTTCGTGTAACGCACCAGACTAAAAAACAACTTTTGCCTCTTAATTTTCCTATGTTCTTGTGCAATTGAGTGCCCTCGTGCGAACGCCTTAAGGGACTAGTCCCTGCTACCGGTCCCCTCGTGAAAACCCTTCAAAGACTTGTCGCCGGGACTAGTCGCACGGACTAGTCGCAGGGACTAGTCCCCTCGTGTGTGCCGACCTTAACTCTTTCCGGTGGCCAATTTACAATTTCAACTTAGTTGATATTACCAAATTACCATATTTTATTCCGACCGCATGAACATAGAAGTTTACAGGCACGAGCTGTGAAATTTGATCTTTAGGTGCATTTAAACACGTGACAATCTACCGTAATTCCAACTTGTTGTTGGGACAAAAGAAAGTTAGATTTTAATTCTCTCCGTATTGATGGTAAAACTAAAATAAACAGGCCAGCATTTTGTGAAGTAAAGCCTTTGTCAATCCTTTCCTGTACATGTACTTATTATTTACCCAAAAAGCAAGACCTTACTTAGGATCCAAACAGCATCGACCTTGCGATCGATTTGACGGTCAGATGAATGTCACTCAAAGACTTTCGAGATTCGACTGTAAAGGATAGATCGATCGGAGCTTCAATTAATTTATCCAGATAGCGAAGTCCATACCGAAAACTCGATTGCTATCCATTTCATCTCAGATACTCAATGCATTTGCACCCGAAGCTTCCAAACATAATCACGAGGAATACCTAATATGCCCAACGATAAAAGACTGAAATCTTCCCATCGATTTATATATTCGTGTCGATCAGTTCCAAAAACTGTACCATCGAGGTACGCGATGCGAAAATTGAGTCATTTTCGACAAATATACGAAGAAGTAAACAGTCTGACTGCACAATAGCAAGTGCTTAATTATGTCGACTTACATAAATGGCGTATGATACACATAACTCACCCAAATACCGATCCAAATTCCAAAACATATATAGCCGGTAAAAAAATAAGTAGTAGCATAATCTGCGATACCGAAACAGACGAGGATAAAGCCAAGAAAAAGGTGTGCTATGGCAAGAAACCTCCCAACAGTCGTCGCCTGTGATGAATAATCCGCCATGTTTGATTTGCAGATGAACTTTCCAGACGATTTGATCTCATTTTCATGTTTCCGAGTGAGTGACGTCAGTTTATGACGCGAACGTCACGCTAATTCAAAATAAAAGCTTGTTCTTTCTCTATCAATTTGTGGACTGGTGTTAGCTCTCAATTCCGAAAAGCAAGAGTTCTCATCTTCAGCGAAAGACCAAAATTTGTTGATCGGAGTCTTCTTTCTCCTAAGTCTTATCTTTTTCTTCTCATTCAAATCAGATGTCTTTGTTCATTGCTTTGTGGTTCTTTTGTGGTTTTCATGGGGTTACTAATAACTAGTCAAAAGGAGGTCAGATCACATGTGTTTTTTTTTTCTTTCTTCATTAATGCTAAAAAATTGTCGAATTTCAAAACAAAACTCTCTTTACAGTACCTTTGAGGAATATTTCATGATAAGCGTGTGCACAGCGAGGTATAAACGCAAGCAGGAAGAGCACGTACGACAGAGAATTGCTCGAGACGCCGAGTGCCAATATAGCCAATATAGCCAATATAGCTTTCAAGAGCACCTTACAGGCTTTTTAATTCTTCGACACCTCGATATACTCGCAGCTAAAAGGAATTATTTCATTTGAACATGCGTTAACATCTTCTAGGCGAAAATGGTTCCTTTTTTTGTGATCGGCTACAATGTTCTCGCGGGATACATGTAGCTTTCCCCCGTCTCTCGCAGTGTTGGTCTGCAGTATGGCATAGAAACATTGGCAATTAACAGCAGGGGGAGGGGGGCCAGGGAAAAAGAAAAATATAGAAGTTGTTCTAGAGAAGTGTCTCAACTAATTTTCTTTGGGTACTGATCGTGGTCATGTGAATGTCACGAGATCACGAGATATATGTGAATATATATAATATATGTAATAATATATAATAATAATATAATAATAATAATAATAATATATATAATATATATGTAATAATATGTAATAATATATATATATAATATATGTGAATATCTCGAGATCTTATGGGGTTAACATTTATCAAGACTTAAACTTGTCATTTACAGAATGTTTGTAAAAATATCGCCTCTACCTTAAATGCAATTAAAAGAAGAAGGCATCTTGTCCCTTTAAATGTTCTAATTGATTTTTTAACACCATAGTTTAACAACATTTTGATTATTGCAGCGTTATCTGGTGTAACTGGGGTTCTAACCTTTTTGAAAAACTACAGAAGCTGCAAAACTGCGTAACCCGATCAGCCACCTCTGTTATGAAGCAAAAAACTTTCTATGGATTGACCCCTGAATATCTAAAATCTCGATATATTTCCCGAAATGATATTACCTGTTACCGACTGAGAAACTCTGTTCTACAACCCCGAACCAACCATTTAAAGAAAGGCTTTTCCGATAGGAGTGCCATGATGTGACGCAGCCTTTCTCATTAGCTCCGATCAACAGTTTCTTTAAACCGAACTGAAATTAAAGTGCGTCACTGAAGGTTTTCAATGAGACACGGAATCCCAGAAAAGCAGCTTTAGAAATCAACGAGGTTATATTTTTATAATACTTTTTGAATCATTAGTTACTTTCGCTAAGCAGACTGATTAGACACTTTGTACTCTTATCTATCTATAATAACATTACAACACGGAAGTTGAGTTACGTAAATTTTCCGTCAACTTCAAGATTGTTCTGCTAAACTTATCACAGTTACTAGGCTAATACTAGAAGACAAAAACTGGGACGGTCAATGAGTCACTTACTGAATTTTTGGTGAAAAAATACCTTCCCAAATACCGATCCACAACCCAGAAGACAAATAACCTGACGCAGAGATTTCATTTACTAAATCTGCAATGTCGACGCAGAAGACAATAATTTGACTAAAGCAGGATACTTGACTATGTTGGCAGCCCCAACTCTGTGGTCCGCCAGGTTGAAGAAGATGTTTTGAAAATGGTTTTCGAAAATAGTTTTATACATGCTGGGTCAGAATAAGTGTACCTTATTTATTCAAGTACAGGTGTGCTAAGGACGTATTTGGTCTCAGGAAGGTAATGTTTACGTCTACCATCAAAATGAAAAGGCCGCTTCAGGAGTTGGTAAGTTCTCAGTGACAATAGATTTTCCATTTGTGCAGGCCCATCTTGAGCGTTTAACTTTCGGTTAGATCTGAATTGTCCCATTTAGTAAGTTGCTGGGCTTGTTCCGGCCTTGTATTTCAAGCCAAAGATGTTCCATGTCAAGACATCGAGATTTTATTGCTTTGCGTCGCTTATATTCAATCGACTCCATACTATATGCGCGAGGAATATGATCCTTCAGCCACACTTCATTAAGGTCAGTTGGTCAAAACCGTAGGCCCAGATGGTAAGAAGCAGCTCATTAGAGGTCAGAGTCATAGCCTTACTGGTTGTTGTAAGAGGAATGAAAGAATTGTCTCTTTTTTTATGTTTTATTTGTCCTCAAAACTGGAGAGGGTGTCTATTGTTCTATTGTTAAAAGAGTCATTAACATCTCGTCAAAAGTTATTTAACTTTAGTCATTTTTTTTTCAGCTATCATTTAATACAAACCAAAAGAAAAAAGCAGACTAAGAGGCGGATCCCTACCCACCAAACCTATGAGATTTTGCTAACTGTAGGTTTGACACCAAACTACTCAGCATGAGCAAGAGATTGTAATTAGTTTATTTACAGTACAAAAAAACTATCTTTTTTTATCAAATTTTGTCTCCTCCTCTTTTATGAAGTATTCCTGGATCCACCCCTGGTGATGACTAAGTGCAAGAAGACATGGTTTTTGTGGTTTTTGTTCTCTTATGATATCCTTCTGGATGATCTCTGCACTCAGCCAACTTCTTCACACATCCTACACATAGAATAAATCGATGATTTGTAAGTATCGATAAATTCTGTCATTGATTACGAAAAGCTTAGCTAAATGCATGAACCAATTCTCGAGTTTAAACTGGTTTGAACCCCATGGTATCTGAGCTCATATCTTGGATCACGAAGAAGGCGATATATCAAATATTTCTTGAAAAGTTTGCAGCTAGGGGTGAGTTACTTCTTTGGAAGTTTTCGATGAAAACATTTCTTCACCCTAGACTGCAAGTTATGCGATGATAGAGCTACCGGCAATTCATATCCTACGCACACTCATCGAATAACTGTGAACTTTTTGGAGAAGAAAGCTATTATCAGAGTATATATTCAAGTGAATGGAACAAGATTATCATATCATGTCTCTATAACATTAAAACAGCAAAATTAAATGCTTTTTTTTGTTTGTTTCGTTTTTTGTTGCAGTTGTTTTTTGTATGTTTTGTTGTATATATATATATATTTATATTTATATAATTATTCGCAATCTTTTAAGCATGATTCGCTGTAATATCCAACCACATTTTTATGTATAAACCGGCAAAGTTTTTCTTTTCTTTATCGCACACATACGTACTCTTGATAACTGTAGGAGTTTCCTAACCCAAGTAAGTCACTCACTGGCAACTACTTTGTTTTTTTTTTTTTGTTTGTTTTTGTTTTTGTTTTATTTTATCACTATCAGCTATTCATCCTGACTCGAACGTTAAAAGCTAGGACACAGGTTCGATTGTCAAAACAGCCGAAATTAAACGATAGAAACAAGCTTTATGCACTTTAGGTTTGGAGATTCCTAACTGTGCACGATGTTTTGTGTTCGTACGGCATGACTTGATACTGTAATGTACATAGAATGGATCTATTGGTTAGTTACTGATTAATATGGGTTTATAGGTTGTGAAGGGTTTGGTCCAGAAGTTCCATGGGAAGCTATATATAGAGAAGGAATTTCCCCTCAACTTCATTACCATTACATAGTGTCAACCAGCCTCGATTTGAGCCGCTTTTTTAGCACTTTTACTTGCCTCAGAAAAAAGTGTAGCGTGACGAAATTTCACTCCATTAGATTAACTAACTATACCTGCTCGTTGTTTAGAGTCATGTACTTTCCGTGTCCCGCGGACTCGGCCATTTCCATTCTCTGATACAAGGGAGCTGCGGGCATGGCTTCAGATACAGGAGGAAACTGCATCACCTGTGGCTGACCTCCCATAGCTCCAGATGCAGGCACCATGAACATTTGAGGCTGGCCTCCTTGTGGAACCTGTGAGTCAGTTTCCACCGCAGCTAAACCACAGGGAACCTGGGAGTCAGTTTCCATTGCAACTAGACCACCAGGTGTTTGCATTTGAACCGCCACAGGACCACCATGACCGTAAGTCATGGCTGGTTGCATCATTTGTCCCTAGAAATGTTGAAGAAATTAAAATGATTTCCATCCACTCGCAAGCAGTGGCAACGACAGTGGTAAAACCAGTAACATTTCCTCGCTATCCTTAAAAAAAAAAACAAATTCACGTCCCTCCTTTGGAGTCTACGCTCTATTTTCACGTTTTTACAGAAACACGCCAGGAAATTATAGCTCGAAATTGGGCCAACTTTTATTTTGGCCGCGGAAGATCTGGGGTTCAGTTGAACAAAATTCAACATGGCGGATCAACCTGAAGCTACCGAAGGGGAACTAATTATTTCAATAAAAGAGGCACTGAAGCGGGAAAAATCAAAGTTTGAGCGGCGAATATCAAACGCATACAGACTAAGGGACTTAGATGTTACTATTAAAGAGCTTAACAAGCTTTCCGAAGCGGTAGTGAAAGCGAAGTTTGGAGGTATTCGTGAACGACCAAAATATTGCATCGGCCAACTTTACCCCATTCTAGAAAGATGCATGATTCGCGCAAAGACTGCCATATACCGCCGTCTAAGCCCAAGAATGAGCAAACTTTAAATCCCCTGATGAGTGGGCGACCACGAAACAGGCTTGTAGGGATGAACTTGTAGTTTACTTGTCTTTTTCCTCCCACAATATATATATATATATAAAGTGTGACTTGATTTTCGTAGAACAGTGCTCAATACATAGAAGTAGAGCGAAGTATATATCCCCTGATGAGTGGGCGTCCACGAAACAGGCTTGCAGGGATGAACTTGTAGTTTACTTGTCTTTTTCCTACCACAATATATATATATATATATATATATATATATATATATATATATATAAAAAAATATATATTTATATAATTATTCGCAATCTTTTAAGCATGATTCGCTGTAATATCCAACCACATTTTTATGTATAAACCGGCAAAGTTTTTCCTTTCTTTATCGCACATATACGTACTCTTGATATTTGTAGGAAACAGCTAAGCCAAGTTAGTCACTCGGCTGCTTTGTTTTTTTATCACTATCAGCCGTACATCCTGACTCAAATGTTAAAAGCTAGGACACAGGTTCAATTGTCAAAACAGCCAAAATTAAATGATAGAAACAAGTTTTGTGCACTTTGCATTTGGAGATTCCTAACTGTACACAATGACTTGTGTTTGTACATCATGACTTGATGCTATAATATCCATAGAATGGATCTGTCGGTTAGTTACTGATTAAGATTTTATAGGTTATGAGGGGTTTGGTCCAAAAGTTCCATGGGAAGTTATGTATAGTGAAGGAATTTCTCCTCAACCTCATTGTTATTACATCGGTGTCAACCAGCCTCGACTCAAACCGTAATTTTAGCATTTACTTGCCTCAAAAAAAGATGTAGCGTGACGAGATTTCACTCACTATACCTGCTCGTTGTTTAGAGTCATGTACTTTCCATGTCCAGCGGACTCAGCCATCTCTACTCGCTGAGACACGGGAACTGTGGGCATGGCTCCAGATGCAAGAGGCACATGCATCACCTGAGGCTGGCCTCCCATATCTCCAAATGCAGGCACCATGATCATTTGAGGCTGGTCTCCCTGTGGAACCTGTGAGTCAGTTTCCACTGCGACTAGACCACCGGGTGTTTGCATTGGAGCCGCCACTGGACCATGATGACCATGAGTCATGGCTGATTGCATCATATGTCCCTAGAAATATTGAAGAAATTGAAATGATTTCCATCCACTCACAAGCACCGGCAAAGACAGCAGTATAAACAGGAACATTTCCTCGCTGTCCTTTAAAGAATAATGAGACTCACGTCCTTCCTTCGAGGTCTACCCTCTATTTTCATTTTTTTACAGAAACAACATTCTTTTATTGTATTTTCATGTTATGTCGAGGAGGTAGTAAACACGTATAGCCAACCGCAAAATTATTAGGAGAAAATAAAATTAATTTAATAGGTGATGTTTCCGCCGCCATGAAATTCTATTTTACCTTCCGCAGAGTTAAAGATGGGAATTGTTTCTTATTGAGACTCACCTGTTGAGACTGGTTATTCTAGCAACATCTGCACACTTTCATGAGGCAGCAACAGGTGGCTGCGCAGATTCCCATGAGCAACTCCAAAATCCCAAGGAACAGAATGATGCCAGAGATTGCCATTTCCCCTTCATATCCTGAGTCGCCTGGTTTGTCAGAATAGTTTTCACTGTCATCTGAATCCAAGGAAATTGTAAGGCTGTACACAATGATGATTATCCCACCAAGCACAGCTGAGGTAATGGAAAAGCCCATGAAGATAGCGCTCTAAAAATTCAAATTAAATTCTTATAAGGTTTTGTTCTCTTGCAATATCATTTATATGAATAAAAGTTTCATGTTCTATTT